ATAATATATATATATATATAAATAAAAACTGTAAAATTTTAGTGGGGGCCACTGCCCCCATAATTGTGTGAATGAATCTGTCCCTGATTCCACCTCAGTATTCAATTATACAGTTATGAATTTAATGAAATCCAATAACACTTAACTTCATCAATCAACAAGGAACCAAATTATAACTCCCTTTACCTCTAAATCCACAAGAATCATAGAAGAAGGGAGAAGAAAATGAGCTCCTCTAGGAAGCTCTGTATGACACTTTGAAACTCCTAATTAAGACCTCTAAGCTAGAATCTCAACATTACAACTTCAACAGTTTTGGGAAAGGGATCAAAGATCGGTCGTGGAATCAGAAGGAAATAGGATCACTTATGGTTCTAAAGCTCCTCTATCTAGATTATCTTTCTAAGTTTCTTTAAGAAATGAACTTATGAAATTCAATCTTAAAAAAAATCTTATATACATTTCCTTACCAATCCAACTTGACATCTATTCAAAGAAACTTTTAAATGACTAAAACTCATTAAAATTTTCTAAAGAGTTTCTTAACAAATAAACAACAAATCACTACAATACATACTTCAATTAAATAAAACAACAATTATTACTAAAAACTCATACTATTACACTGTGCCCTTATCGATAGGTTCCTTTGAATTTGTACTCCCTTCCATCATCTTCCTCGCATAAGAGTGATGGAGCTAAACACCTTATATTGATTGCCATGGTCAATAACGTGTTTGATTTTGGTGCATGAATGGACAATCATTTCGCATTCAGTTCTTGTCGTTTATTGAATAAAAGTTATACTTCACTTTTATCTTGCATAAAAAATAAAAATAAAAACACATTTTGATTTTTATGTATGACATTTTATCTAAAAATATATATATAACTTCCTTATTAGTGGAAACTTGAAAGATTATTTTAGTTCTTGTACTAAAAAAAAAAGCAATTGTTGAGAGTAAAATTATCAATAAGAATATATAAACTTGAAAGATTATTTTAAGACAATTTTACTGTTCATTTATCGTGATAACTATACATTTTTTCTTTTAGTGTAGGATAATTTTATTTAATTAATTTAAACAAAATTACTATTTATCCAATATGTTCTTTTTATTCATAAATTACAATGATGACAAAGTTCTAACATAAAACTTTGGTATACTCTATGAGCATTTTTAATTTCCACAAGTTTGAGTGTCTTTTTATCGTTAATGTTTACCTTTTTTGTTTCACAATGACTATCATTTAAAAATTTTACACACAAATTAAAACTTCTCAATCAATACACTATTTTTAATTGTGATAATTAAATAATTTATAAAAAACAATTAAAATTAAATTAAAAAGTGAGAAGCTTATTCATTTAAAAAAAAACACTTTTCAAATGTTAAACTTACTATCATTATAAACAGAGCAAGTGTAATAGTATTAATGAAAACTAGGGAGTGAGTGGTGTTAAGATAATTCGCGTTGCGAAAAATAAGAATTACGTGTGGAATTGATTGAGACAAAAGAAATGCTCCGAAATTGAAATTTTGAGCATCGAAATTATATGTAGGCCTAATAAATGACCAGTGAATGTGATTATGAATTGTACTGAAAAATATAGACATAAAAAATAGACAAATATACATGCAAGCTCCTAGACGTTGATGAACCACTAGGGTTAGCTTAGTGGTTGAGGTGGGATAGTTAAAAATATGAGGACCTAGGTTTAATCTTCATTGCGACCATTTTTATAATGTTTCCTTATCTTAAAAAAAAAATTCCTAGATGTTAATGCTATAAATAATAGTTACAAATTTATCATGCAAAAAGGAGTGAAAATAAATCGGATCGAGGAATTATTTAGTTGAATTGGATAATATTTAGTTTAATTTATAATTTAATTCAAATTTGAGATGAATTTTATTTTTCTGTTTGAATTTGATTTCAAATTTATTAATAGTCCGGTTCAATTTTATAGTTCATTAGTATAAATTACTTGAACTAATAGTCAAATTTTTTTATTTTTGTACATTTCAAAATTTAATTTAATAATAAGTTTTAGGTAAAATAATTATTTAATTTTTTAAAAAATAAAACATAACATATCTTATTAATTTTGTAAGATTATAAGATATAATTTAAAAATATATATAATTCTAAAGTATTCAATTCTTTCATTATTATTAACTTATAATTAAGTTTTAAATTTTTTTACAAATTTTAATAAGCAAAAATTAAATAAAATAATAATTATATAAATTATATATTTATACGTAATTTAAATTTGATTTATTTATTATTAAATTCAATTTTTAGCTCAAATTCAAATCATTTAATTCATGAAAATTTAACAAATTAACTGTCAAATCAAATTTTAAATTATTTTTGAATTGATTTAGTTAATTATCACTCTTGGACACAACTTCGAGTGTTGTTGGACCAAAGGTAAGGCCTATGTGAAGTCTAACACACATAAAACCATAAATACATTACTTAATTACACGTAAACATGATTCAATTAATTTAATTTAAAATATTATTTATTATCTTAATTATCTTTATCAATATTTTATACTTTTAATTATTTTAACATTAAACTAACTATAATTAATGATAAGGATTAAAAAAGAACGTTAATTAAGAAAATGTTTAAAATTTTAAAATGATAAAAATAATTTACAAGAACTAAAACAAAAGAGAACAATATTTGCAGGAACCGAAAAACATATTGAAAGTATAAAAAAGATTGACAAAATTCATAGTCCTATATAGATTCTGTTGGCTAAATTAAATTTATTATTTGGTCAATCCCTCATATCCAACATTTAGGGGGGAAATTACATTTAAATATCATGGCTAAGAATTATTTATCCAACATTTATTCTTTAGTTAGGGGGAGTGTTATACTATAAATATGTAAATATATTTTGCAAATATAATTATTAGAAGAATATTTGCTACAAATACAATTATTAGGAAAATTTACCGACAACCCCTGATCCCTGAAATCAAAAGATTTAGTTAGGGAACTAATTAAGCAATCATTTCCTTTATTAGGATTGATTCTTTTTCCTTTTTAATCTCCCTGTATAAAATTAGAAATTTTAGATGTACTAGCCACTTGAATAAGGAGAACAAATTCAATTCTATCATCTCAAATGGTAATACTGCATTTGTAGAGTGCTTCATTGTCTTCTACAAAAAGTAGCTCAAAAAGGGGACCTGATGGCACACCTTACTTAGCCAGCATCACTGTCAGCCTTACTTCTGATGGCCAAGCGATGAAGCCATAGGAGAAGTTCAAGAATATAATATTCCACTTTTTCTTTGTCTGCATGCTGGAATGTCTCAATCCGCATTATATCACTCTTCCTGTTTACCTCATAGCTTCAAGAACCAAGCAAGTATTTAAAATAAAAAATGATTAAAAGCACAGAATACAAAAAGGAAAAAGGTACAAACTTCTAATTCAAAATAGAGCACTAGAGGGTTGCTACTTACCCTGTGTTTGCCCACTCCCCTACCCAACCAAATCTATGATGTGCTCTGAATTGTAAAACCACCAAAAGAAAAGCCAACAACGAATAGAGTTAGTTATATAGAAGGTAAATATACTGATGGTTGAAGAAAGCTTTTCACATAGGTAGTAAGGAGCTAGTTGACAATGGCCAGATATTTTACTTGGATGTATTAGTGGCCATGGGAACCAAAATATGTAATAATTTCTCCATCCAATATTTGATAACTGGTACAGTTAACTGCAAGATTCTGACAGAAACCATGAGAAACGAGAAAAAAAAAACCAAAAAAAACAAGGAAATAATATAAGGAGATTTTCATCTTTGATTGAAAGTGGAAAGCAGAAAGTAGAGAAAATTTATTCTTCAAAAGTTGTCAAGCATTTTCCTCAGCATTCTAAATATTTATAATGTTATGCAGTAAGTAAACAATCTAGGCAAGTACTATGAGTGAAGGAAGCATTGGTCAATAAAATTAAGGGCATAAAATGAGGATTGAGTACGACGGTGACTACATGATGTCAACGAGGAGAATGATCGAGGAGTTACTGATTTGCAGCTATATAGTTGGAATATTTTTCCCTCGTCTGTTGTGGGCTTTTCTAAACTTTCCAGTTATTCTTCTGTGATTTTTTAACAAATTGGTAAAAATGGAAAGTATCAGCAGGTATACCTCTTCTACAACACGGAGGGATGGTAATTTGGAACGCAGAGCTAATTTTATCTTAGGAGGCAGACTTTGATATAATGCATCCTTTGTATTTGCAATTGTAGTCCCGGCTACCTGAAAGTGTAAACACGGTGCTCAGTTCAATGTTATTTGATGCATTAGCTTAGTAAGACATAAATTTGAACTATGAATTAGTATATATAACTACACTACAAAGGGAATTAGCAGTGAATAAATCATATCCCAATTATCATATAATCAAGCATAAATGCACACCTTGATCAAAGCATAAAAGTCATAAACTAAATATAAAGATGCCCAACTCCCTAATATTTAGTTGTGACTTGTGAGCATACTGTCTGCACCAGACACTTGATGGCACTAGGTGTGAACCTAGCAAGTGTATTTTAACTTGTTAATGGCATTCCAGTTCATGAACCCATTTTGATCATTATCAAGAGATTAATATATAGGATAACACTTGATGAATGAGAGATCATGAATGCATCAAACAGTTAGTTATTTTTCTGATGCATATATATTTGTATCACCTAAATTATTTTATAAGACTAATGTTGGTTACAATTTAGATCAGGTTATGTTACGCAGTGACTAGAATGTGAAATGAGAACTTGATGCGGAACAACTCAATCCATCAAAAGAAAATTAAAGGTTGTTTGATGTTTTGATAAATTGGAAGTTTCAACTAAAACCAGGAAATGGTTGACTTGAAATCAAAAAATTGAATAAAACTTCGATATTTTTTCAGGCATGCTACATTATGATTTACGTATTTGGGTCTGTAGAAGCATGGAAAAAAGAAGGCAAAATAAATTACTTTTCCATTCATTAAGTACTTGTAGAAGGCAGCGATGCAAATTGATAACATATTAACCTAGAAAACGGCAGGTTTTTCTAAACCCTGAAACCTAATCCTTAAACCCTATTTGACTGACATCATGCTAAATATTCCAGATTACAGTAACAGTTCTAGAGAACATGTCTTTCTAAATCACAAGTCATAACAAAGGACTAGAAGAATTATCTAGTAGGTAACACCAACAATTTACATTACAAACATGATTAACCAAGACACTGACACCATGACATTGAGTGCACTGTCACACCCAGATTAGAGGAATATTATTCCCTTGGAAAATGATATATCTATAAATTTTGAGGATCATCCAATTTTCACTTTAAAAAAGAAGGATCATCCACTTTCAAGTCCAGGTCACAGATGGTGTAGTAACCTGATAGGCAAATTAGTGTTAGAAACTTGAAAGCACATTGAGTTTTCTACAGAAATTGCACTATCTGATGTCAATGGTAGCCAAATTTATGGAAGTTGAATGATTGGCTTTGGCTTTACAGTTGATTCATGATTGAGTTTCCCTCCTAATATTAATGATAAAATTAAATAAATTTACAGTCTAATCTAAATACCTAATTACATCGAATCTGAAAATAATAGAAAGGAAGTTACAGAGAAGTAGCACAAAAGAAATTCAATACTTCAACACAAGAAGAGAAGCAACTCTAGAAACTCAATTTTCACCTGGTTGAAAGTAAGGCACAACAACAGAGCAGAGAGGAATGAAATAAATACAAAGAAGATTAACTCACAAGAGTATCAATTTGAAGCACTATATTTGCATAATGCAAAGCAAGGCCTGCAGGGCCCAATCTCTGGCAATTGCTCAAGTTTCCAGCTAATGGTTTGTGGCAGTCTGCAGGTGCCCATGGATAAACATTATACAAAATCATTTCAAACTGATTTCAACAGTAATTTGGTGAGAATATAAACACATAGTGACTCCACTCCATACCCCCCCCCCCCCCCCCCCCCCCCCCCCCCCCCCCCCAATCTCTAATTTAAAATAATAATTACTAAAAAATAAGGCTAACATAGCCAAGATTAGCAGTGGCTATCACCTGTGTTAACCAAGTCATCACATTGATAAGAACCAATAGTTATTACTTATTACATTAAGTGACACTAAAACAGCATTACAAAACAAGTGAAGCAAGTAAGATCTAGTGGCCTTTAGTGGGTACAAACCTGCTCTACCAAAGGCATTGTTTATCTCCAAATGCAAAAAATGGACAAAGTCTACAAGCTTCTCCACAACCTGTAAACCAGTAGATTATGAATTGTTAATGTAAAGAAGATAATTATGGTCATCTTTATGAAATTATGGTAATTAGGGATATATCCTAGTATTTATGACTTAGGCATATCCATCCCTCCTACTCTATTCCAAGGTTAAGTGAATTTCCCTTGTCGAACCTCCTTCACCTTGGTATATGCAACAGCCAACCAAGATAGAACTTTCAGTTGGGTGAAATTGTAGCATTACTCCTGTATGAGTTGCTTCTGCCTGAAATACAACCATTGTCTCATTAAGCAAGGATAGGTCCTTCCCAAGTACTTGATTTATAATATGATCATTGTTTATTCCGGCCATAACTTAATAGATCCTGTCCTTCTCCTTGTAATGAATGCTTGAGTAGATCAACATCTCCAGTACATAGTACTTCAAATTGCCCAAGAAGACACATCTTCAGGTCTAAACATCATGGTAGACAACTCCCCTTGAGCAATTAATCAAGGTGATTTCTCCAACCTCGGTAAATTGGTGCATGGCACACTTGATGGTGGTGCCTCCAACCAAAAATGTCATCGAAGAAGCAGTGGGGGTGGTGAAGACTAGAGGGTTCGCCAGAAAACGGGTGACAAAAGCAGTAAAGAGTGGCAGAAAATGGGGTTCGGTTCGCCAAAAAAATTTGTAACCAGGGATAATGGGTCCACCAAGTAAGCACAATTCTAGGGTTGCCTCTATTAAACTTCTTAAATTTAGAAGAAATAATATCTTATTATTTTAATCATGAGATACATCAAATATATATACATATGAGTCTGTTGCCTATTTTAGGAAATAAGGACAGCCTATTCTAGGGAACAAATCCCTCTAATTGTGGGATTGTTATTGTAGTAATAATAGCAAGATACAACAAATATACAGAATTAAAATACAGTAGGAATAATATCTAAAACTTCCTAAAATATATTTTGACACTCCCCCTCAAGCTAGTGAATAAGTGTTCTCCATTCCCAGCTTGGATATAATTCTTTCAAAGTTACTGTTGTTCAGCCCCTTGGTGAGTATGTCTACAAGTTGACCTTGAGTGGACACATATGGGGTGCAAATCAAGCCACTATCAAGCTTTTCTTGAATAAAATGTCTGTCCACCTCAATATGTTTAGTTCTATCATGCTATATCGGATTGTGGGCTATACTAATTGCAGATTTATTGTCACAATATAACCTCATAGGCTCATCCCACTTTATCCTTAACTCTTCCAATATAATCTTCAGCCATAAAAGTTCGCATATTCCTAGGGCCTTTGCTAGATATCCTGTTGCAGCACTAGATCTAGCTACCACACTTTGTTTTTTGCTCTTCCAAGTTACTAGGTTTCCACCAAGGAAGGTGCAATATCCAGTAATTGACCTCCTATCCACAACTGAACTTACATAATTAGCATCCATATATGCCTCAAGACTAACATTCTTGTTTCTTTTGAACAAAATTCCTCTTCCTGGAGTCCCTTTTAAATACTGGACAATTCTAAGGGCAGCTTATAAATGTGCTTCCTTTGGTTGGTGCATAAATTGGCCGACTAGGCTCACAACAAAGGCAATCTCTGGCCTAGTGTGAGATAGGTAAATGAGTCTTCCCACAAGTCTTTGGTACATTTCTTTATCCACAGCAACATCCTCCCCCGCACTTCCCAACTTTATATTTGGGTCAACTGGTGTACTTGTTGGTTTACAAGCTGTCTTACCTGTTTCCTTTAGCAAGTCAGTAATATATTTTTGTTGAGATATGAAGATCCCTTTCTTGGAATGGGCTACTTCAATCCCCAAAAAATATTTTAGCTTTCCTAAGGTCTTGATTTCGAATTCCTTGGCAAGGCATTGACTCAACCTTTGTTGTTCCTTTTTATCATTCTCAGTGACAATGATATCATCCACATAGACCAATAGTACTGTTAGTCCCCCTAAATCAGAATGCTTGATAAATAAAGTGTGGTCCCCTTGGCTCTGTTTGTATTTAAGGCTTTTCATGACTTTGTTGAATCTCCCAAACCATGCTCTAGGTGATTGTTTCAACCTGTATAATGTCTTTTTTAGCTTGCAAACTGTGTTGGCCTCAATCTGCCTTGTATACCCGGGTGGTACCTCCATGTATATTTCTTCTTCAAGATCCCCATGTAGGAATGCATTTTTTACATCAAATTGTTGCAAGTCTCAATCGTGGTTTGCTGCCAATGACAAAATTACTCTGCCCGTGTTCATTTTGGCAACTGGTGCAAAAGTCTCCAAGTAATCCACTCCATATGTTTGAGTGAACCCTTTGGCCACCAACCTCACCTTATACCTCTCAATCGTCCCATCAGCCCGGTATTTCACTGTATAAACCCACTTGCACCCAACCGGTTTTTTTCCAGGTGGTAGGGTGACTAGCTTCCAAGTATTGTTTTTCTCCAATGCTTCCATCTCCAATTCCATGGCTTGTTTCCATTTTTTGTCGATTAATGCCTCAGATACAGAAGAAGGAGTAGTTGTGGTGTTTAGGCTTGTGAGAAAGGTTTTATGGGTAGGTGAGAATTTTTCAAATGATAGATAATTTGTCAAGGGGTAAGGTTGTTGTTTGGTGCAGGTTCTGGTTCCTTTTCTAAGGGCAATTGGGAGGTCCAAGTTATGGTCCACATGTGCAGCTGGTTTTTTAGAAGGAAATCCATCACAATTAGTAGAATTAGAATTTATAGGATCAAAAGGATTTACCTCATGTAATGATATAGGGTTGGATTCTTGGACATGAGAAAATCTTGGAATGGCCTTTCCTCTTCGTGTTTACACTATATTTTTCCCAAATTTTGTATCATCATGTGGTCTAATTGTTGTTCCTGCATCAGTTGTTGGTCCTGCAGGTGTAGGAATTTGATTCACCTTTACTTGTTCCTCTTCAGCTTCAGCTTCACATATAATGGTAGTATTCTTTTGAATTTCTGGTCCAACAGTATTTTTTCCAATTTCTGGTCCAAAGGACAGATTTGGTAGTATGAAAGGCTCATCTTCCTCTCTTAAATTCTCCCCCTGAAGATGAGGCTGGCTAAAGTAGCTTATTCGCTCATTGAAAGTAACATCCCTTGACACAGAATTTTTGGGATGGAGGATGAAAACACTTATATCCTTTTTCTGTGGCTAAGTACCCCAAGAAAACACATTTTATTCCTCTTGGGTCAAGTTTCCCCTTCCATTACTGTGAACATGCACAAAGGAGACACACCCAAATATTCTAGGTTGAAGGTTATTTGTATGGGCTATATGTGGGTAGAATGAGTTTAGGACTTCCATGGGGCTTTTGAGGATAAAACTGTAGAGGGTAGTCTATTAATTAATTAAGTGGCAGTGAGTATGGCTTCCCCCCAAAAAAATTTTGGAACATTATTTTGAAACATGAGTGCTCTAGTTTGGTCTAGTAAGTGCCCATTTTTCCTTTCTGCAATCCCATTTTGTTGGGGTGTGTGTACACATGAGAATTCATGAGTTATCCCTTCCTTTTGGCATAAAGAATTTAGGGTATGATTGAAGTAATCTTTGGCATTATTAGACCTAAGTTTCTTGATATTAATCCCAAATTGATTTTTAATCACTGAAACATATTGTAGGAAAACAGAGCTAACCTCATATTTGTGTTTAAGAAGGAAAAGCCACGTTACCCTTGTACAATCATCTATAAAGGTTATAAACCATTTAGCCCCTGAGATATTAGGGACATTAGAGGGGCCCCAACACATCCGTATGAACAAGATAAAATGAAGAAGTGCTTATTTTATTGCTAATAGGAAAAGGTACACACTTGTGTTTGGCATGCTCACACACCTCACAATGAAGACTCTCCAGATTTAAATTTTTAAACTAGGAAGGGAACAGTAACTTTATGACCCAAAATGAAGGATGTCCCAAACGAAAATGAATCAACTAATCTTTTTCTTTGTTGGTTATGACAGACTCAGATATCAGAGAGAGACTCTCAATGGGCAGATTCAGATCTTCCATGTAGTAAAGGCCATTCCATTCTCTAGCATGTCCAATCGTCCTCCCTGATTTCTTGTCCTGCAATATACAAGAGTTGCTATAAAATATCACATTACATAAGAGGTCCTCTGTAAGTTTTTGGATAGATATCAGATTTGTGGACAATTTAGGGACATGAAGAACATTTTTTAGTATTATGGTTGGGGTTATTTGGACATCTCCTTGTCCAGCTACAATTATAAGGGTTCCATCAGCTGTGAAAATTTTCTTGTTACTGGGACATGGAGAATATGTGGAAAAGTGTTTAGGGAGTGGTGTCATATGGTCTGTGGCTCCAGAGTCTAGAATCCAATAATGGGTAAAGGGTGTATTTAAGACATTAAATCCACAAGAAAATGGGAACTTACCAGAGTATGTCAACGAACATGTACCTATGGGTTTCTTCAATTTACTAAGAAAGGATCTTACTCTCTCTAACTCCTCATGGTTGAGTTGGACGGATCCTCCTTGACTTTCAGGACCAGCAGCAACATGAGCTTGCCCCCCTCTCCTTGGAGGGCCTCCTTTGTGTCCCCAATCTTTGCTTTGAGGTTTTCCATGCAACCTCCAACATTTGTCCCTTGTGTGGCGTGACTTGTTGCAATAGGTGCACCATACTCCTTCATTTTTCTTCTCTAGATTTGGAAGAAGGCCTACTTTCTTTTGTTCCACAACCATGGTTGTTGCTCCTTCAACAATCATAGCTGAACTATCCACAATTGGGGTCTCTAGCATTAGGCTTCTTCTACTCTCTTCACTCCGAACAATTGCTACTACTTCATTGAGTCCAGGAACCTTCTCCTTTCCCAATATTTGGATCCTGACTTGATGATATTCTTGGTTTAGGCCTACCAAGAAGTCATACACCCGGTCTTGTTCAATGTAATCCCTTAGAATTGCTGAATCCTCAGAACACTTGGCCTTTATAACCCTGTAATGATCCAATTCCATCCATAATGATTTGAGTTGATTAGCATATTCAGTGATAGTTTTAGTGCCCTGTTTGGCTACCATAGTTTTTACCTTCACCTCATAAATCTAGGCAGCATCCTTTGCCTTAGAGTAGGTTTGCTCTACTGCAATCCATATTGCCTTCGCAGAATTAAGGAACATGCAGGTATCGCTAATTTCTGGAACCATTGAGTTCCATAGCCATGCCATAATCATGGAGTCTTCTTCATCCCATGACTTGAATTTGGCATCTTCTTCAGCAGGGGCATCATCAGTTAGATGGCTGACCTTTCCTATCCCTTTCAAGATGGTCTTAATGAGTTGAGACCATTTGAGAGAATTTTTTTCATTCAATCGATAGGCTCAATGGACATTTTGCAGCTCAACCGTATTCTGGAACTTGTCCCCATTTTCCATTTCAGCCATTACAAATATGTGCAATTAAGGCACAGAAAATCAGATCGATTCAGGAGCAGTAGGGAAGCACACAGCAATAGAAGCTGTGATGAGTGTTTGGGATCACACAGTAATGAAGGCTGCAATGGAATTATAGGGTTGTGCAGCAATGAAGGCTGCGATGGAATTCTAGGGTTGCGTAGCAATGACGGATGCGATGGAATTCTAGGGTTGTGCAACAATGAAGGCTGCAATCAAATCACAGTCAGAGGCTCCCAAGGATAAGGAGCTCTGAAACCATCTTAAATTTAGAAAACAATATCTTATTATTTTAATCATGAGATACAAAGATATATATACACATGAGTCTGTTGCCTATTTTAGGAAATAAGGACAGCCTATTCTAGGGAACAAATCCCTCTAATTGTGGGATTGTTATTGTAGTAATAATAGCAAGATACAACAAATGTACAGAATTAAAATATAGTAGGAATAATATCTAAAACTTCCTAAAATATATTTTGACAAAACTCTTTTTCTCTTAATCTATCAAACTCTTAATACCATGTTAACAGAGATAAAATAGGCATGATAGGCTGAAACCATAGAGTTTGAATACACCTTAGATACTTGTTTATATAGGCTTATTACAATAAATACATATAATTAGAGGATATTTTGTTTCTCCTAAATCAGATATTACATGCATATAAACCGCTATATTACAATAAATCAAAATAGTATTCTGATTTTCAACAAATGGCATTATACATGGGTCAGATACAATGATAGTCTAAATGAGGATTAAATAAACAGGGGGAGACTGTGTGAGGGTAAAGATAAACACATCGTGCAGAGGAGCAATCTGAAGTTACCTCATCTAAACTTCTATACCAGAGTGATTTTTTCTTTAAATGTCTAATGTACTTCCTTTGACTTTTAATTTCCACCCTTAACAACGCAAGGTTATCACCTGTATGATGAAGAGAGATACTGAAGGTCACAAGTATATATCTATCAAAGACTACAAAAACAAATATTGTTCATTATACTGCAAGATCAAACTTCTGAGTTAGAGTGACTTTTTCTTCTGAAGTGTTAATATAGAAAACAATCATATAGACCTTAAATCTTGTCCTAAGGTTTAACACATTTATCATCAAATGTGTGTTCTATTTGAAAATAATAATACTAATAATAATAATACCAAATATATCTTCACTTTAAACTATAACTCTTTAAAGCTTCGGATTTAAGGTTCAAAATTGCTAGTTACAAACAAAAGATGCATATTATGACATGGTCCATGGGTAATATTCCACAATTACCTCTTTGATCCTCCTCAGACTTGCGCTGAAAATCTTGTTCAAATGTATCCAAAGCATTCAATTCATGGTACATTTCCTGCACCCACAAAAAAAATATATTTCCCAATTTCTTTCAGAATAAATCCCACATTAAAAAATTACTAAGTTGAATAAAAATAAAATAATGGAGCACTTGGTTGCAGCCAAAGGCAGATAATAGAAAACCTTGAAGATAAAGTAACTGCAAAATGGGAGAAAATGAGCAGGTGCAACAAAAGGTGCAATGAGACACTCTATACATTAGGTAATTTAATAAAACTACCAATTTGTAATCAAGTATACAAAATTTCCATAATTACTTAAAATAGGTTATTCCTTCAATAACAAGCCATCGTACTTGCAAATCAATAAAGATTAAATCTAACCAAGAAGGTATATCAAACCATCATATTGGCTCCATTTCAAAAAAGATTTCATCATGAAATTTTGCACATAATCAATGCCAAATTTATATGATTGGAAGTTTTATTCTAGGGTGATAACGGAAATCAGAACCAGAATAAATAGTTAAATGTATGTATCAAACAGGTTATGATGGAGCTAAAGTAGATGAATTCAGAAACTCCCCATTTATCTTTGAGTACGAATTATGATACATATATAAGGTATTAAGTAGGACAGAGAGAAAGTAGTGGAAAGAAAGAAAAATCTATGCAATTAAATGTAATACAATAATGTAATTATTGCATGAAGTATTTCCTATTTGGGGACAATCATTCACTCAAGTGGTTAACAATATTGAAAGACTGGTTAATTAGTAATCATTTATAAACTTAATTAACCATTTGAGTTAATTATTGCAAATACTTTTACCAATAATTCTTTCTTTTTTTATAATTTCCTTATATTTTCAGCTTTCAAAGTTATTATCAGTCCTCTGAGCAACACTCAGCATTTTCTTTAGTGACACAGGGAATACACTCACAACTGAAAACTGAACCAAAGTCATCAATTGTTGCATGATTGATTCTGCCTCATCTCTTGACAGTCTTGGAGCATTTAATTCTCTGCTAATCCTAAAATTTACAATGAAAAATACAGCTCAGAATAAATTTAAGAAAGGCTAAATATATTTCTGAAAGAGTACAATTTATATTACTTCTCAAAATAACGGTCTAAGTTGTGCCATTGAGGATTCTTTGAACGATTTCCAAACCGAACCACCTCATCAGAAAAAACTTTCAATTCCTGCCTGACAACATAATCCAAAATCAAATACAGTTAACATTTTAATTTCAGAGTCATGGTAATGCAAAAAAATAAAATAGTTAGCTTATTCAGGGTACAAAAGTCATGCTTAGTAATTTGATTTAATCCAATATTTACCTCTTGTCTGCTGCAACAATCCTAAGAAGTTCATCCATATCCTCTGATACTAACTCTTGTACAGCCTCTGAAAGAAGCACCTCTTCTTTTAAATGCCTAATACTTTCTGAGGAAAGAGATTGCTGTAGATTAAAACCTTTGACAATTGTGTTCGCAACCTCAAATGCTAAGATAGAAATTTGATTCCCCTTTATCGCAGCTCCAGAAACAAATCCACCACTAGTATTTAAATTTGTCATGCTACTCCCAAGAGTTTCCAAAATATATACTTTCTTCTCAAATCGATTAGTACCAGCTCTACCGAAGCATAAACTCACCTCTGAGACCTGAAATGAAACAGAAGAGCTTAGTAGATATTTTTGTTGTCTTTTTGCTGTAAAAGTTGTAGAATAGGAAAGTACTCCAATGCTATCAGGGTAGGGTGCCATTGACATTTTAGGGATGCCAACAAAGACCTACCAAGAAGATTACTGTGCAGGCCTAAATTGTAAACAGTTTTACCGGTTGCATATACTTAATTAGCCCCTAGGTGTTAGGGGATTTTCCTTAATAAGGTTGCCCACCAAGCAGGATTTTAGTAGCTTTAGAGGAATCAATCCCACATCCATGGAGAGGACAAGAGTTAATTGTAAATCCAAAACTACTTGCATCAACCCATTATGGCATTCTCATTTTTCTCATACGTAAACATGGATAACAAATAAAAATACATATAAGATAAATGACACAATTCTAAAAATACTACTTACTGATAATTTAATAAATAAATCTTAAACCCAATCATAATAACAGGCTAGTTAGAGTTATATTACAGATTAGATATTGGGTTAGTGAAATGATTTGAGATCAAAATTGAAAACAAACCAACCTTTGACCTAGACTTGGGCAGAGAGCAATCATCGACAAAGTATGGGATTACATCGTGGAAATGTCCGTCCTGGAGTGTAGCATGTTCTTGCACTTGCGTCTGTTTATTCCTTTCCTGTGTGTTTGTGGAATCGGTGCCTCTATTGATAGGCTTCTTTGAATTTGAACCCCCTGCCATCTCCTACACCTAAGAGAGTTGCAGCTCAACACCTTATTCATTGTGGTGAATTGGCCGATAACAGGTTTAGTTATAAAATTCTTCCCTACAATTATGGCATGTTTCTTTATTCTAATCATAGTCTTCTAAGATTTTTTCTACAGGGATTAAACAGAAAAACAAGTTGAACGCAGAGACCAAAATTAGAATTGAGTCTCGATACGTACCGAGTGAGTTGGTGGCAAGAGAAGTGTTGGAAAGTGTTGTAACACAATCCAGGGAAGAAAGAACATAATAATTGGGGTGTGATCGGGACAAAACAAAGGCTTCAAAACATAATTTTGAGCATCAAAACAGAAGTCTACAGTGGAGCGTGGACCTAATAATTACTGGTCAATGTGTTTATTTATCCCATCAAATATGGAATTGGAAGCAGAATTCTTAATGTGTATTCGACCGGTAGGATGGAATGGAACAGTATGGAATTGAAGCTTGTCTGTTACTTGGAGAAGCAAAAGTCATTAGAAACTAACGTTTCACTATGTTAATTGTTAGGGAATGGCTAGAGCTCAGTGGACTAATTTCCCATTATCAACTATAAGGTCGTACTGTAATTTCCTATTATCAAATATTGTTACAGAAAGCCATTTATGCTAGGCTGCACTGTGGCAAAAATAGAGAAGAAACAAGTTATTTTATTGTCTGCAGAACTCATGACAAAGTATGTCTTTTCTGAAATTAGAAGGAAAGGGAAATTATCTCTCTTTTCTCTTTTTAATTTTATTATATATATATATATATATATATATTACTATACTATAAAATTATAAAAATGAAAATAAATAATATTACATATACTTGTATAAAGTGATTTCCTATTTCCAAACATCACATTATTTTTGACAATTTCACCTTTTAAATAAAAATAAAAAACTGTTAAAAAACAAAGGTTAGTTACATAAATCTTTTAGTATACATAACTGCATATTGTCTCATTAAAGACTACGGTATTTAAGTGGAGACAAAGTATTTTTTTCAAACTAGTGTTAATTAAAATATTATGTTAAAAATGTTTTTCTTTTTAACTATTATAATTTTGGCATAAAAAAATATTATAATTGTATTTTTAAATAATTCCTGTATTTATTTTCCTTTTGCATTCATCTAAACAAGTGGAGAAAAGTTCCCTCATTTTTATTTACCAAGCGATATAACTTTTTTAATATATTTTCTCTATTCATGATGTCTATCATTCTTATTTCATTCTTTCTTGTTTGTCTCTTTGCTATTTCACTCACAAGGAGAAGGAGCTAAGACAGTTAACAGGGAGAGGGGTACAACTTAATTGATCATGGATTTTAAATATGTGTTGATATAATTCACTAGTAAATTTATATAACTGGTTTTAAATAAATGTAAGTAAAATAATAATCGATGTGTATTCGAATATGCGTTAATATCACTGATTTGGAATCAATTTAAATTTATATTGTTAATTTTGAGACAAAAATAATGTCATTTTCATTTGAATGATAAAGAATATAAACTTAATTTTTATATTAAATGATGTTTAAAAACTTATTATTCAAATTGATTTTAAGTGAATAATTTTTTTAAAACGTGAACATATTAAACCCCAACTAATTTTGTTTAATAGAGAAATCACCAATAATTTCAAGTAAATGTGATTTTAAACATCTCAAAACCAATTCTATCATTAGCCATGCAAGAAGTAAATGTAATTCTTATCATCTTGAACTTAATGAAATTGATCCAAGACATTAAAAGTTAAACCAATCATACCCCACGCGAATGCTAATCTCATTTTCGCACAAACCCCCTCACTTTTGTGAATCGTAGGTCTCACATCATTTATGTATCATTCCACTCAAGTTCTTACTACAAACAATTGTCTTATTTTAATATTATTTAACAAGACAATATATTATCATATTAGTTCATATTATTATGAAACTTATATATAGTTCCGTACATTGATACTATTTACCCTAAAAAAATATTACAAAACTTGGATACAGTTTCAAAGATTTGGTATTATTACAAAACTTAGATATGATTTCATATATAATTTTGATATTTTTTATTAATTAGAATTGAAAATCATCCTAATAATAGTTACATTAAATGTTTGTATAGATTTTTAAGAACATCCACAATAGAACAACTTTATTTGGGTGCTTCCAATGAAACTTCCTTATATACATCACTCATTTTTATTCTTTTCCATACAAATACCTTCAAGCACTTCATCTTTACAATGAAACAACTCTCTTTGGATACTTCCAATAGATTCCACCAAAAAGCTTACATCATTATATTTTATTATAAACATATTTATTAATTTATAATAATTTGTTTATTTATAAATTAATTATTTTAAAAAAAAATAACAAATTTTTTATTTTATCATTATTTAAATAATTTGTTGGTACAATAAAAAAATAATAAAATTATTAATAACTACTTTTGTTAAACCATGGATTTTGGTTTGAATTATATAATGAAAAGAAGTTGAAAATAAATTTTAGAGTGAGAAAAATTTAAGATGTTTAGTTGTACAATTTTTCTTTAGAAAAATATTTATTTATATACAAATGAAAAAACAAAACAAAAAAAGTAACCATTACATTTACAACGATAAAATAAAAAATATATTTTTTAATATTTGTTGGTTGACTTGCACGTTGCTAGCTAAAACAACCTTTGCCCAAAAACACTCCAATTCAATTGCTTCTAACGGCCTCAGACTAAAAAGAAACATTACTTCCCTAAGAGAGTTATTTTGTAAGCTACCATTGTAAATGCTCCAAGGTGAAACAACAATTCTAATTAAATAATAATAATACCAAAAATATCAATAAAAACCGCATCTAAATTTTGTCCTTTATATTATCCTATCAATTCAATAATTCAAAATTACAGATATAAAAGGAAGTAGAATGTAGCCATTATCCTATAAGATGCATAATTATCCTACTAACTTATATTATTATTATAACTATTATTACTGCTATAATGCTATAATTGAGATGTAACATATAGCGCGATGTAAGAGATAAAAAAGAGTAAAGTTGATGTAAAAAAGATGTGGAAAAATCATAACGACAAAATCTAGATTCAGTAGTGAGCATGGGTAGCCAAACCCACAAAAGGAAAAGCTGTGCAAAATGATGGGCGCTATATCCTCATTACCTCACAATATATACACTCGACAATGAACCAGTCCGCTCCCATATTAAGTGGGCTTTGCAGTCACATTGAAACAAGCATGAAGGCCTATCGTCCCAACAGCACTTACCTTGGTGCCTGTCATATAAAGATGATATCTACATCACATGGAGCTTCAATGTCCAAAGTACCAAAGGTGCCGCAAAAATACGCCATTCAACGCTTGCAACAAGAATGTGGCATATATATGCATAGAAAGAAAACCCACTCCTATGTCCATCTGTATTATTGCTCTTTTCCATTCATTTCAAAGGCAAACATGCAATGCAACCTTGCAAATTATCTCACCCCATCCAGTCTGTCGATCACGTTCAATGCTCTTTCTTTGTCAATATCAAAATCAATCACTGGAAGCTTAGACAAAATCCTATTAAAAGACATTTCCTTGCTTTTACTTGATGAATGACTTCTACTCTTGGTCAATCTACAGTTCTCCCTGAATCTAATATTCGCACTGTCAAAGTCCAAGCTTTTACTTATCCGTCTAGCTGATATTTTGTTTTTTACATCCTGCAGCATGTTTTGCTCGTCGATTGTTAATAATGATAATGTTGCTGCATTTATAGACTGCTTATTTGTCTTTTGCAAGGCAGCGCCAACAGGGGACTTGATGGCAGACCTTACTTTGCTAGCATCACTAACAGCCTTACTTCTGATCACCATGCGATGAAGCCACAAGAGAAGTTCAAGAATATAATATTCCACTTTGTCTTTGTCTGCATGGTGGAATGTCTCAATCTGCATTACACCACTCTTCCTGTTTACCTCAGACCTTCAAAAACCAAGCAAGTATTTAAAATGGGAATGGATTAAAAACAAGGAAAATACAGAAAGGAAAAACATACAAATTTCGATTTCAAAATAGAGCAGCAGAGGCTTGCTACTTACCCTGTGTTTGCCCACTCCCCTACCCAACCAAAGCCATGATGAGCTCTGAACCAATTTTGAAACAAACAAAAGAAAAGGCCAATAAGGACTAGAGTTAGCTTATATAAAGTAAATATACTGATTATAAAAGAAAGCTTTTCACATGGGTAATAGGAACTAGATGACAAAAAGCCACATATCTTACTTGGATGTGTTAGTGGCCATGGGGGCCAACCAATGTAATGTTTTCTCCATCTCATCTGTGATATCTGCTATAGTTAGCTGCAAGATTCAGACAGCAACCATGAGGAAAGAGCAAAAAAAACTAAGGAGATTTTCATCTTGATTGAAAGTGGAAAGCTTTAAGTAGAAGAAAACTTATTCTTAAAAGGGTGAAAAGGGTATTGACCATTTCCCTCAGCATGCTAAATAATTAAGATGTTATGCAGTGAGTTAACCATCTAGGAGAGGATGAAGGCATGTCATATGGGTGAAAAAAGCATAGCTTAACAAAATTAATGTCATTAAATGAGGATTGACTGATTGAGGAGGTTGGTTAAGGAGTTGCTGATTAACAACTATATAGTTAGTATATTCTTCCCTTGTCTGTTGTGGACTAGAGGAAGTGTGTTTCAATCTAAAGCTTCTCTATCTCTATACTAAACTTTTTACTTATTTTTTTCTGTGGTTTTTTAACAAAGTGGTAATAATAGAAAAAGTATCAGCAGGTAATCATACCTCTTCGACAACACGAAGGGATGGCAATTTGGAGCGCAAAGCTAATTTTATATTAGGAGGCAAGCTTTGATATAATGCATCCTTAGTATTTGCAGGAGGCATAGAGGATCTAGCTACCTGAAAGTGCCAACATCAGTCTCAGTACAAAGTTATTCAATGCACTAACTTAGCAAGACAATTTGAACTATGAATAAGTGTATATAACTACACCTTATTAAATCAAGGAAAAAGTACAAAGGGGACCAACGTTAAGAGTAAACATGGGTCAGGTTTTGGGGGAAATCTTGAATCCAAACTGAATGATAATGGCCAGGTCAAGTTTGTTAAATGTGTGTGGCTCAACCCAAACCTGATCATGATTGGGTTGGTCCAGATTTGGGTCATCAGGTTAAATACTTTTTAAAGAATGGAAAGAAATACACAAAATAGGGAAATGAAACTAAAAAAGTAAAATAAAAAATGAAGGAAAATAGAGATCTAGTCTCAAAAGTTAGATGAAAAAAAGATTAAATAAATGAAATTGAAGATTGAGCGTAATTACATTTTAAGTATTTTATATTTGAATATGGTCAGGTTGGGTGAGAATTTTCCAAACATGATACTTGACCCAATTATTACTTCAAATGCATCAATTTTCAAATTGATCCAACTAATCAACCAAACCCAATCCAGCAATTTTAGCTCAGGTTGGTCAGGACTACCCAACCCATGAAATCATATACCAATTATCATATAGTCAAACATAAATGTTAAATGTACAACCAGATCAAAGAATAATGCTAATGAAATAAATATAAAGATGCCCAACCTCCTAATATGTTAGTTGTAGGAGTAACAAGTGAATCCATTTATGCATCATCCATCCGATCTATCCCCAAGTAAATTCATCCAATCCATCCATTACAAGAAATATAAATAATGGATAGAATCCAATCCACTCATTTAATTTTATGGATGGTTAATAACTCAATTACTACTTTTTCAAAATCTATTCGATTACAATATGAGATATTTATTGGATTAAGATTTTAAAAGATTTTTTTGACATAAAAAAAAAATCTTGTGAATTTTAGAAATTATATAAGAATGTTATGACTTAAAAAGAAAAAAGAGAGAAATAAAATATTTCAAAAATAAAAAATATTGAATTTTTAAAACATTACTTTTATGGTTGAATTGGATATCCATCCATGAAAAAATTGTTAATGGATGGATTTTTTTGTTTTAAATGGATTGGATTTTTATGTGAATTTTTAATGGACCTAAATGGATTAATGAATTATGTATATCTGATCCATTATGATCCATCTAAAAAATTATTCATTCTATTCATTTGTCACCCCTGGTTAGTTGTGAGCAAACTGTCTGTACCAAACAAATTCATGAACAAATAAGTGCAGACCTAACATGTGCATTTCAATTTGTTGATGACATGCCCAATTCATGCACCCAGGTTGAGCATTGTCAACAAATTAATATATAGGATCTGATAGGAAAAGGTATTATGGGGTGCAAGTCCCACATTGAGTAGTATGGGATGTTCAGTGGAGTATTTAAGTTTTTGGTTCTCTCATCTTAAGTTCTTAACAGCGGCTTTCAAGAGAGGGTTCCCTGCTTAGGTGCTTATCAATTGGTATCAAAGCTGGTTGTTGGGGTTGTTTAGGTCGACTCAACACATGAAATCAATTGATAACTGATAAGCACTTGGTATAAGAACCTTCACAAAAGTCTAAAACAGCTACATAGCAGGTTCAGAACTTCAAAAATAAAAAAATAAAAAAAACACCAATAATTCACCCCCTAGTCTATTTAGATCACAAACATGATCACCAAATACATAGGCACCTTGGTATTAAATTCACTGTCACTGTGTCACAACCCACAGAGTAGAGAATATTATTTTATTAGAAAATGTTATAAATCTTTAAATGTTGAATATCTTCCTATTTTCACTTTAAACAAGTATACTCATCAACTTTTAAATCTAGGTCACAGATGGTGTAACAACCTGAAAGGCAATTTGTTAGAATCCAAATGTAAGGTTTGGGAGTTGAGTCCCATATTGGAAGTATGGGATTCTACTAGTGTGAGGTTTATAAGGCCTGGCGGATCCAAGACCCTAGGTTAGTGGGGGCAATTTTTTTTAAAAAATAAAAATTAATAATCATCATCACATATACAAAGAACAAAATATAAATGTCAAAAACAATAATCAGTAAGTTCAATATATAAAACTAGAGACTGCAAAATACAATATTTTTAAACATACAGTAATAATATAATTAAAATGAGGGGGTGCATATGTCCACCCTCATTATAATGTAGGTCTGCCACATTGGACTATCCATCTACAACAACTAGCTTTTGTTGTGGGGTACTCCCAAGGTTCTTATCACAATTGGTATTAGAAAATAGAAACTAGAAAGTACATGGAATTTTCTACCAAAATTGCGCCATTTGATGTCAATGGGAGCAAAATTTATAAAAGTTAAATGCTTAGTTTACTTTACAATTGATTCATAGTTGAGTTTCCCTCTTAATATTAATTAATGATAAAAAGATACAGAGTAATCCAAACATCTAATTACATCAAATCTGAAAGTAATAGAAGGGAAGTCACAGAGAAGTAACAGAAGAAATTCAATACTTAAAGGCAAGAAGAGAAGCAACTCTAGAAACTCTATTAACTTTCACCAGGTTCATGGTAAGGCACAAAAATTGAACAGAGATGGAATGAAGTAAATACAATAAAGATTAACTCACAAGAGTATCAATTTGAAGCACTATATTTGCATAATGCAAAGCGAGGCCTGCATGGCCCAATCTTTGTCGATTGCTCATGTGTCCAATTAATGGTTTGTGGCCATCTGCAGGTGCCCATGGATAAACAACATTACAGATATGTAGAATATAGATTTCATTTCAAACTGGTTTTAACAGCAATTTGATAATAAATTGAGAACATAAATACAGTGGCGCACCCCTCCCCCTCCCCCTCCCCCCTCCAAAAGAAAAGAAACACATCCACCTTTTTCTCCGTTTCTAATTTAAAATAAGAATTACCACAAAATAAGGCTAACATAGCGGATATTTGCAGAGGCTAACACTTGGGTTAACTAAATCATCACATTGATAAGAACTGATAATTAATACTTAATACATTAAGTGGCAGTAGGACAGCAAAACAAATCAAGTGAAGCAACCATAATCTAATGGCCTTTAGTGGGAACAAACCTGCATTGCCAAAGGCATTGCTAATCTCCAAATGCAAAAAATGGACAATGTCTACAAGTTCCTCCATAACCTGTAACCCATTAGATTATGAATTATATTAAACTTTACTCAGTTCTCCATTTATGATATGCACAACATGAAATCAGATATATCATCTATTTATAAAAATTATTTCTCTACACTACTTTAGCATTATACATTGATTGGATACAAATATACAATGACAGTCTAAAAGAGGATACAACAAACAAGGAGGAGGGTACTGACAGACAAGATAAACACATTGTGCAGAGAAGCAGCCTGAAGTTACCTCCTCTAAACTTCTAGACCAGAGTGATTTTTTCTTTAGATGTCTAATTTGCTTCTTTTGACTTTTAATTTCTGCCTTCAAGAATGCAAGGCTATCACCTACATGATGAAGAGAGATACTGAAGGTCAAAAGCATATCTATAAGAGACTACATAAACAAATATTGCTCAATATATTGCAAGGTCAAACTATTGAACCAAAGTGACTTTTTCTTCAAAAATGTGTAATACAGTAAACAACCATTTAGGCATTTAGAATGCATTGTCAACAATAGTATGTAGTTCTGGCTCCAAAAAATATTAAAACAAATGTTAGCAAAAACAAAAGTAGGTGTTTTGGCAACTGTCATGATGTCATCTGACTGTAAAGTGTTACAATTTAACAGGGATGATTTTCAATGAGACCCAATGGCAGATGCAGAAGGCATTCAGAACAGAATAGCAAAAAGGAGGGGGAAAAGGATTCAACAAAAGCAAATATAGATAGCTAGTTATTCTAGATCATGTACTCATTTCAGAGTCATTGATGAAAGAGTTGTTGATGCTAGCATATATCTTTTTAAACATCTCAACCAATTACATGATTAACGCAAACTCTGTCCAAACGTTCCAAACATTTATCACCATCTAAATACCAAAATTAATCTTCACTTTAAATTATAACTCCTTTAAGAGCTTCAGATTTAGGGTTAAAAATTGCTGGTTACAAACAAAAGATGCATATTATGCCACAGCTCATGGGTAAAAATATTCCATGAATACCTCTTTGATCATCCTCCTCACATTTCTGCTGAATATCTTGTTCAAATCTATCCAAAGCATGTAATTCATGGTACAATTCCTGTAGCCACAGAAATTGATTTTCAATTTCTTTCGACATAAAAAATTACTACATTGAATAAAAAGAAAATGCATGGAGCACTTGGTTGCAGCAAAGGAAAGATAATAGAGAATCTTAAGTAACTGCAAAATAGCAGCAAATGAGTGGATGCAACAAAAGGTGCGATATATTATATTTCCATCATAACTGAAAAATTCCATCATATCTATTTAGGGGCAATCACTCACTCAACTGGTTTATTAGTGTCAGATATGATGGAAATATAGTATTTCAGTTTTGTATTAGTTCCATTCTGCTATGGGTAGTTGGCCATTCGTTAGTTCACTGTAAAGTCTGCTAATCCCTGGTTAGCGCTGTCATATCATTTATAAATAGATAACTCATCTCATTGTAATGAATAACGATTGATTAATAATGAAATTAAGTTGTTCAGTTACAAGATTCTTTCACTTTCTCAGAAACTCAACATTTTTAACAATATTAAAAGAGTGGATTAATGAGCAATCATTTATAAACTTAATTATTCTAAAATTGCAGATACTTTCATAAAGAATTCTTTTTTTTAATTTCTTATATTTTCAGCTTCAAAAGTTACTATCAGTCCTTGAGCAACACTAAGCATTTTCTTTAGTAACACAAGGAATACACTCACAGCTGTAAACTGAACCAAAGTCATCAATTGTTGCATTATTGATTCTGCCTCATCTCTTGACAGTCTTTGAGCATTTAATTCTCTGCTAACCCTAAAATTTACAGTGAAAATACAGTTCAGAATAAATATAAGAAAGGCTAAATATTTTTTTGGAGATGAATGAAAGGTTAGATGAATTGAGTGAGTACAATTTATATTACTTCTCAAAGTAACGGTCTAAGTTGTGCCATTGAGGATTCTTTGAACGATTTCCAAAACGAATCACCTCATCAGAAAAAACTTTCAATTCCTGCCTGACAACATAATCCAAAATTATATACAGTTAACATTTTAATTTAAGAGTCATGGTAATGCAAAACAATAAAATAGTTAGTTTATTCATGGTACAAAAGTCATGATTAGTAATTTGATTTAATCCAATATTTACCTCTTGTCTGCTGCCACAATCCTCAGAAGTTCATCCATGTCCTTTGATACTAAATCTTGCACAGCAGGAGAAAGAAGTACCTCTTCTTTTAAATGCCTAATACTTTTTGGGGAAAGAGATTGCAGAAGATTAAAACCTTTGACAATTGTGTTAGCAACCTCAAATGCTAAGATAGAAATTTCATTCCCCTTTATCGCAGCTCCAGAAACAAACCCACTGCTAGCATTTAAATTTGTCATGCTGCTCCCAAGGGTGTCCAAAACCTCTACTGCCTTCCCAAATCCAGCTCTGCCCAAGCGTAAACTCACCTCTGAGACCTGAAATGGAAGAGCTCAGAATACATTTTCATTTTTCCCCAACATTATTCTATCTACACAGAAGCAAATGAATGGTTTAATACATGCCCCCTCGCCTAAAAAAACCCTCAGATTAGATGCATAGACAATGCACAAGCCCATTTTATCTTGTGGTGCAACAATTCATCACTGTAATGTAGAATGGCACCTAACCAATTAATCATTTGAAGCTTTGACACCAAATCAGGGACCAAGATCCATTTGGATAAGTTTCTCCATAAGTATTTTTATAATACAAAATTAAGAAGAAGAAAAGACTCTCTATAAACTATAACTAACTCATGCATAAGTTAAAAATAAGATTTTAGAGAAGCCAATATGAGAAAGCTTTAATAAACTAGCTTATGCTTAAGCTAATTTTAACTTGGGAGAAACTTATTTCATTTTTCCTTTCTATTTTTCTCTCTTAGAAGTGTTTCTGAAGAAGTTAATCTAAACAGGCTCCAATTCTCCTAAAAGCTTAAACTATTTAGCGAGAATCCTATGGCTTGATTTATATCCAAAATAAATCCTGTTGGCATCCAAACACCTTGGACAATTATCCTCACTAGCACAAACAACCTAATCTTAAAGCCTCAAGTACATAAACAAGATAAACAACAAAATCCTAAAATTGCAAACAAACTAACCCTAAATCCTAATTACAAAACCTCATTTCCAACTATACACACACCATAAGTTATCACCAGAGTTACAAATACTATCTACTCAAATCGCATCTTCACTAGTTCAAACACGTCGCGATCCATGAATTTCTCGCCTCGCCTATCAAAATCATCAACAACGGTTCAGTCTCCGATACTGCGACGTTGACACAAAACCGATAGACAAATCATCTCGCAGTTAAGTATATCCACAATAGAGAAACGGTTTGACCTTTGACCTAGACTTGTTAGACGAAGAGTCCTCGACGTAGAACGGGATTCCATCGTAAAAGTGTTCCTCCACCGCGGCAGAAGGTCCGCCGTAGGTCCTAGAAGGGTCCGGAACGTTCCTCTCCATTCTCTGCGGCGCGACGGCAGAGTGGTTGGTGGTAGGCTTGGTATGAGCGGCGTCGGCGTTGACGAAGACTCGGTCATCCTCGTCGGAACGCGAGCAGAGACCTCTCATCACTTGAGAGAGCCACGCCAGGAATTCAACCTTTGAATCGGAAGGCCCCGCCATGTGGTGGTTGCAGTAGTGGCAATAGGAGTTCGTAGTGAGATCGCGACGAGGGTTTTGGTCATTGGAATTAGTTGGTGGCAGTAAGTGAGCCAAGAAGTATAGGGAAGATTACTAGTAAGGAAAGAAAATTAGAAGAAGACACAAGAGACTTGTCACGTGTCAACTGTGTAAGAAAAAAACATAAACGGTAATGTTATTTTTTAAAACACATTTTCTTTTTATTTTTAAGGGTTTTTTCTTGCTAAATTCGAATCCGAATGATAAAGAAAAAATCATATATGTAAGTAATTCTAATATTTTAATATGTTAAAAAAATTCTTACTAGTTGTTTAATTCTTTAATAGGTTACTTGTAGCAAGGGATAATGGGTTGACTATTATGGGTTCGGTCCAACCATGCGTAGCCTACAGGCTAGGCCTTAACTTGCAATTTAATACCATTCTGTGGGCATAAATCCCTATTTTCGGTTCATAGGTCGGTGTTTTGTGTTAGAAAATTGAAGTTTCATTCAGTTTGGTCAACCAATCAGTTTTGCTCTAGTTTGCTTCTCACGGTAAAATAAAATACAAAAATAAAACAATATTATGTAAATATTTTAAGGATAAATCTCACTTTTATTTTCTTTATTTATTTTTCTCTACATATAATTATGATTTTTTTATTTTAAAATAAAAATATTTAATTTTCTACTGTTAAAAATATGAAATTCTAATTTTATTATCTAATTTTATATTCATTAATCATTAATTAATATTATTTATTTAATTGTCACCACTTAAAAAATGTTGATATTTAATGATGTAGCATGTAAAAATAAAATTTTAAAAATAATATATAAAAAAATCTTTTAGGAGTAATTGATATTTATTTTATTAATAAAATTTATTTAAATAATTATTTTTTTAATTTTATCAACTTTAAATATCATATTTTATCACTTAAATGTCAATAAATATTAAGACTTAATCATCAATTAATTTCAATAAAATTTAAAAATCAAAATTTAATATTTTTATAATTTTTTATATTAAATATGTTTTCAGTTTAAAAACTTTTTTGAATTTTATTTCTAGTCTCTAAATAAAAGTTTAACCAGTTTTTGTCGTTTAATTTTTTTTTTTTACATTTGTTTATCTCGCATTTTGCACTACTAACATTGTAGTTATGTAAGCTGTCAAGTCTTCGATCAATAACATGCATTTATGTGCAACTTTTTTTAAAATTACAATTTTAATCTTTTTTCTACGAAATTCATTTTTACTTCTTCCAAATTTATTTATTGGTTTTAGTTCTTCATCTTTTCATAAAAAAGTTTTTTTGTTATTCAATAGTTTTTTGATAATTTTAGTCTATTAATTATTGAACAAATCAATAACTCACTAAATTATAATAAAACAAAATCAGCAACATGTTAAATTATAATCTAAAACACAAAATCAATAATTTACTAAAACATGGTCTTAACATAAAACCAATATCTCACGGTAAACAAAACCAGCCAGGATAAACAAAAACATAAACCATCGAACCTATGAATCAAAATTCAAGTACCAAAATCACGATCTTTGAATTATGTTTACCTTAATTCATAATTTCAATTATTAAAGAAACGTTAAACTGTTCCATCTTAGTCTTCCTCCTACAAATTATTTTGCTCTATAAAAAATACTATGCATAAAGAATACACGTCTTTGTGTAGAAAAAAAGTCTTTTTATATTTATTTTCAATAAAAAAATAATTTTTCTTTATTACAATATTTTTTTTGGAATAAACACTATTCTCCTTACTTTTTTCCAAGATATAGCTATAATGGCAAGAAAGTGATGCCACAACAATATTTCTTGTGGCCTTCAAACCAAGTACACAAATTAATGCCAAGTACACAAATTAAACAAGCACATTCAATTGTTTAACTATTATAATATTGTATCGCAAAAAAAAATAAAATTAATGTTTGATTCTATTTTTTATATTTTATTTTAAATAAATTAACTTGTTTAACCTAATAATTTGTGATGAGTTGAGTCAAATTGGCTATTTTTTGACTCATTAAAAATCAAGTTAGATTTGATTAATATCTCAATTTTTTGCGAACATATGATTAATCAAGTTGTCTCACTTCAACAACTCTATTACATTGTAAACTCTGTGATTATCACATCATTTAACAATTATACTTGTTGTTGAAAATAAAATTATTGTAATTGTTAAGAGACTAAATTCAATAACTAACATATTGAGAAATAATAGTTAAGAGACTTAAAGTGAATTTTGTATTAATATATATATATATATATATGAGGTTTGACAAATTTGTGACTAAAAATATAGTTTATAAATAAAAAGCTACAAGTTATTTTTTTTATCCATTAGAATTATGATGATAGCAACAAGATTTGGATACAGGACTATATTATTAGGTGTACAAAATTGACACGTAATATATATTTTATAAGTTTGTAAGTTACTCAAAAGTATCTATATATATATATATATATGTGTATGTATGAGAAAAAATATTTAATATGATAATTAAAATTATATTAAAGAAATGTTTTAACTAAATTAAGTATTGTTGTTAAATATATATTAAGTGGCCAAAATATTTTAGTATACTTTTAGTTAATTTTGATGTGTGATCTTAAATAAATAATATAGTATTATACATTTTTAGTTGAATTTTAAATACAAAATTTAAAAAACCGCAAAAATCTAAACTAAACAAAACCATAAGAAATTAGTTTGATTTAGTTTGCATTTCATAATTCATTAAATTTAAATCAAATCAAATTACATTTAATTTTATTGTTTGATTTAGATAATTTTTAAGGTCAAAATCAAATTAAATTGTACCATGAACACTTTTAATTTTAACACAAGAGGAGATAACATTATAATACTCTTATCTTTCAGGAGAGAGTAAATAATTTACTCTTTTTATTATTATGATTACCGATTATGTATATAATATTAAAATTTATATATCATAGGAGTGAGTATGACCTAATCAAGTTTACTAGTCCCTAGTGTTGATTTGGACATGTTTGAGCTTTGAAATTGAACTTATCATATTTTTAGGACAAATTCAGATCATATTTCGGATCGTCAAACCCTATTTAATATATAATATTATCTTAAAAATTATTGATTTTATTGAATTATTATGTATTAAAAATAAAAATTATTTAATCATCAATATTTTTTATAAAATAATATTTTATTTATAATAAAATTATTTATTTAATATATATTATAAAATATACTCTAATTTAAATTATACATTTCTTTTAATTTATAACTTAACCAAATATAATGTTAAAATTAACTTAATGTAAAGTTTGATTGACTCGATCTTATTTCATATATTTTTGGATAATAATCTAATCAAATTTAAAATTTAAAAAATAATCTAGTCAAAATATCAAATTTTCTTTGACAAAAATAAATCCAACCCCAACTCACCCTAATTCATTATCGGTTGAAACAGTCTTATTAACATGTTATTGATTCTTAATTAGGTCTCGTTCAAATTAAAATAAATTCTATCAACAAACTATCAAGGTTGAAACAAAAATATACTTGTCCCATAATTTGACTAAAAAAAAGTAATCAATCTGAGGCAAAGTTCTTTTAATGTCGAAGAGATAAGTTGCGTGTGAAATTTTTTACTTTGTAATAGATAAACACATCATCTGCAAAGAAAGAGAAATACAAAACCATTTTTTTCTTCTTCTTACAGACATTATTAAGAGAATTAAAAGAACCAATTTCTTTACGTTAAAAAACAAATAAGTAACAGGACACTTTTTAAAGATGAGTGCTCACAACACATTATTTAACGTATTTATCTTAACCACACTTTTTATAATCAGTTGAAATTAATTAGCTAGAAACTATAAAATCATTATTAAAACTCATTATTAGGTAAAAAATGTGACACTTTTTTATTTTCAATTATATAATTTTTAACAAAATTTAACTAATAAAAAAGTTAAAAAAAGTGTTATAAAGTATATTCTTAATAATATATACAATAATATTTGAAAATGTAAAATCTCCAAATATAAGGGTGGAGAGGAGCGCAAAGACAACATTGAATTTGATAAATAAGAGAAATATTTAATTTAGTTTAGTTCAGTTTTACACACCATAACCAAAATAGAATTGATCCAAATAAAAAAATTTTTGTGATTTCGGTTATTTTGAATAATTCTTTGTGTTGGTAGAGCAACTAGCTGTCCAAGACACATCTCTATTTTTTTTTTTGGTTCGTCCTTAGAGTATCCATCGCTGATAGTAGTGACTAATTTCCTCATACGTTGAAGACACTTCAAAGGGTGGGATAGCTGACTCCAAGAGTTAACGCGGCTATATACACAAGACAGGATTCAAACTCCTGACCTTACTTAAACATGGATCAACTCCTACCGCTGAACTACACGAGGTTCACACAACTCTATCTCTATGTGACACTTAAATTTGCAGCATCCAATTAATATAAAATAAAATATCACATTTAGTATACGATGGTGTTTCGTGACAAGCATAGTTATACTTGTCTAAGGTAGATGTTACATTTTCTGTAGCATATTTGAGTTGACTTGTTTTCTATCTCTTTTTTATGCATGCACATCATTTTCCTTTCCCACGTTTGTGGCATGATGTATCCCATATTCCGCTGCATGCACAATTTGTTTATGATCACTCACTTAGGGACTTTGTATGACCTGTGACATGCCTTGTGATTCACTCTCTTATATTGATTAATTGATTGTGTTAGTAGAGCAACCATCATGGCAAGACACATTCTATGTGAAACTTAAAATTGTGTCACTTAAATTTGCAACATCCCATTTATATCAAAAATCACATTTAGTATATGGTGATGTTTCATGACAAGCATAATTCTACGTCTGAGGTAATTAATACTACATTTTATTTACCATATTTTGCATGACTTTTATTTTTCTTCTTTCTTTCTCTTTATATGCACAATGTTTTCTTTTCCTCCACGTTCTGAACATAATGCATCCCATAATTTGATGCATGTGAGATTTGTTAGTTACTCTCTTATGGACCTTTTATGATTCATTGACATACCTTATGATTCACTCACTTTATGTCTCCTATATTAATCTTTTTAACTTGTTTCAACCTATCATCTCTATATTTTTCTTTTTATTTTTGCATTCTTACTTTATTTTCTCTATTTGTTGTTTCATTGCTCTTAACATACAAGTAAATATTTCGTCCCATTTTATTGATGTTAATTTTGTTTTATTTCAATTTTACAATTCACTTGTATATGTTTAGGGTGAATATTTTGAATTTGTCTTTATCTATATTTCTATAAATACTAATGTATAAAAGGATGTTACTTTCCACATTTGCTGAATCATTATACCTTGTGTTTATTAAAAAAATACTAATATATAAAGGGATATTCCCATTAATAATCATTTTTTAACTTCACATTTATTAAACCTTTATATCCTTCAATTATTAGGAAAAATAAAATATCAATAATTTTTTTAGTAACTACCATTATTTTCATGAATAGTTAACCATTCACTCCACTATTTTTTGTTTAATCTATTTAAGCTAACTTAGATTGTTGGTCTTTTATCTTATTTTTTATATTCATCTTGATTTTTTATCTATTAAAATATATATTTTGGTTCTTTATCTTTTATATTTGAATCAATTTGGTGTTTTTAAAATAATGATTATTTTGAATTTTGTGAAATGATTTTAGATCAATTTTTAAATTCAAAATATGAAACTTGTAACATTAGATTTATCTATATAAAAATTATGAAATGTAGTTGATGTTTGAATAAAAAAAGGTTATACTCAAAGTGAAAATATATCTTATGAACAATTAGAAAATAATGAGATTATATATGTATATATATTTTTAAATTTGATATTCACGATGTTTATAATACATTTGATTTAAACTTCAATTGCATTAATTTTTTTTTTATATAAATGAATCTTATGAAATAAGTTTCAAATCTTAAATACTCTAAAAAAAATCAAAAAGACTAAATTAACACCAAATTTAAAAGATAAATGATGAAACAAACATTTTTAAAAGATAAAAAATCAAAATAAATAAAAATAAAATAAAATATCAAAAGTATAATTTAGTCCTTTATATAAATAAATACTAAAAGACACCCGATGTTTCTTTTTCCACACACA